GTGGGGAGGCCTGGCAGCAGCTCCCTTTTGCTCTGCCAATTCTTTCCTGCTCCAGAGGCACTCAAGGACACTTAGACCTTGGCACCACTGGCCTCTCTGATGAACCTCAGCTCTTGGCAGTCCCCTTCTCAGAGGGGAGGTGCAAAGCCAAGTGTCTGACCACCTGCTCCTGCTCTCTTCCAGTCCTCTTCAGTGTCCCCAGGTCCTGCCATACAAACAGGTTCAGGGTAAACTGAGTGACTCAGACTGGAATGGGCCCCCAACCAACCCCAGGCCAGTACAGGCCAGAGACAAGATTATGTTCAGAAAAGAAGAGGAGTTTTGAAAATTTAACCTGAAAAAGCATTCTTAGGACTGAACCAGAGAATCTACAGGTTTTGCTAATGCAGCAACACTCAAGAAAGCAAACAAAAACAGGATGCTGAGAGCAAACCAGTTAAGACCAGTCCACGGACAGGATTACAACTTGACCAAGGACTGTCCTTCAACTTCAATGTGCCTTCATCATAATGCATTAGCATAATAAATTTTTTTATAATTTTATGTCTTTATTTATATTTATTTTCATGTATGTATATCTTTGTGTGTGTATACATTGCATGGGGGGAGTGACACAGAGACCAGAAGACATTGGATCCCCTGCAGTTAGAGTTTACAGACAGTTGTGAGCTGCCTGACATGGGTGCTGGAAACCAAATTTGGATCCTCTGGAAGAGCAGCAACTTCTCTTAACCACCAAGTCATCTCTCCAGTCCAACAGAAAGTCTGCACGGTAAAATCTACGTGGAGGTTGGGGAACTCTAACACAAGGATAGGCATATTTTGGGCCATGTGCAATGTGGCGTTAGATACCTAAAGCAGGACAAAAGTCACATCTCCAACTTCATTCCGTGACCACCTCCTTTTACTTTGAGTAAGACTCCTACTTGAGAGTTACACAGGGATGGGACTCACAACAGGGTGTCTATCTAAAAGCCAGGGCTGCCTCCCTTATCTCATCCCCTTTAAAGCTGAAGCATGGAGTCCTGGTCCTAACCCTGCAGCACCTTGAACTTTAGGAATAAAAGCTCATAAGCAGGACAGACCACCCCCAAAATGAAGCCAAGGATATATCCTGGAGAAGATCATTTTGAGGAACCAGGATGGGCCCCTCCCACAATTACTATAATTAATAACACCAGAAGCTGAGATGATGGACCATACCTTGACCAAGACTCCTTAAATATGCATACTTCTTTTCTCCTGCCCCAGTTCATCCTCTGTTTGAACCTAAAGCTTGAAACAGTACCCCAAGGCAAACTTGGGATCACTGGACCCCTGTTATCTGTTCATCTCCCCAATGGCATTGATTAAATCTCCTTTCTCTGCTTTTCATCATTCTGCTTCTAAATTATATGTTGAATTAGATGGCTGAGCTAGCTTATTGGGACTGCTAGAGACAGGGGCTTTTGCCCTAAACTTCAGTTTCACTTGCTGAAGTATGACTTTTTCCTCAGGGCATAACATGATCATCCAGTCGCCATTTTGGAGTAGAGATAACCTTGGCTGGTAGTCATGTAGCCACAGCAGCTAAATGAGCAAAACATGCAGTGATAGGCAAATCCATAGTACACCTGAAATGGAAGGTGGGAAAGGGGAACTCCATGGTATAGCTTCCATGAGGTTGTCAACCATCATGGGATGGGGCTTCACAGAGATGCAGCTGCTTGGGGGTCACCCACGCTCCTGGAAGTAACTCCTCACTCATGCTTTGTAAACAAGTCCAATTAGTATACTGGCTCACCATGTGATTTTGGTGGGATCCTTATTGTACTCTGTCACTGGTTGCTTATCTGAGGGGAACAGACTGCTTGTTCTTGTCACTCCAGGAAAAGTTAACAGAACTATACGGCACAAAATTATGGAGACAGCAAAAGAATTAGATGTTTTCAGGAGATGAGAGAGAGAGAGAGAGAGAGAGAGGGGGGGGGGGTTTAGACAGAGAAATTAATTACTCTGTACAGTATTGTACTGTCAAATACATGGCACACAGTTGTCTACAGCCACAAAATATATATCAAAAGTAAACTAGGAAATAATATCTATGAGTTGACTAAGATCCCATCCCTGTTACCAACAGGAAAAATAATGAAAGAATAAAACAAGTTGAAAGTAAATATAGGGGCCTGGAGAGATGGCTCAGTGGTTAAGAGTACTGGCTGCTCTTGCAGAGGACCCAGGTTTGGTTCCCAGGACCCACACTCCGGCTGACAACCATCTGTAACTCCAGTTCCAAGTAATGCAAGGCCCTCCTCCTTCTGGCCTCCATGGGCATTGCACAACATGGGTGCACTTACATACATGCAAACAAAACACTCATATACATAAAATATAAATAAAAATTTAAAGAAAAGTTTGTTTCACAAGGAGTTTATAGTTAATATGACTTCTTTTTAATTATTACTACTTCATTTTTCTGTTAAGCCAGTTTGCTAAATTTATAAAAGTTTTTAGTCCATGGTAAATTCAAGGAGAATAGCTCTTTCACCCCAAATTGAGAAGCTCTGTCCTGCACCAAAAGCTTGGGTCCAGAGCCAGAAATATTGGTCTGTTGGCTCTGGAATACAATTAGTACTGTGCCTCAATTTACCCATCTGCCAACTGAGCAGAGAGAATAACCACATTTAGCCAATTAGGCCTCAGTAAATATTGGCTACTGCCAGCAGACACTCCTCAGCCAGTCTTCACGAAGTATGCAAGCTTGAGGAAGTCCTGCTCTCTGGCTTCAGACATTCAGACACACAGCTGGCTCTGGAACATTCTGAAGGGGCAGCCCATGTCCTGGCCTACCCCGTGGAAATCTCACTAAGTGGGGACAGCGAGGTAACAATAACTACAATGTTCTAGCCAGCCACATATCCTGGACATTAACTTCACCAACAACAATTCACTCCACACAGTTCTATACCAAGTAATCAATTCTGATGCCATATTTGAAAAGCTTTGTCCCCACCTCCAGACTAGGGATCCCGATGGTACTTCTAATACAGAGCAGCCCACCCTATATACATTCAGTGAACCTATGAGTATAAATGCCAGATTGCTGATATTTCAGTATTTGAGAGAATTGATTTATTTAACACCCAAACAAAACAGCAGGGCGATGAATGGCATTACTTCTAAGAGCCCTGCCAAGATAAACTCTCATAAAATATTGCAGTATCATCAATATTATGTTACAGAGACGACAGAGTGAGAGGAATCAAGAAAGAGGGAGTGAAGTCTTCAATACCTCAGGTCCCAGGATTACATGAGACATTTTGCAGGCTTCAGGGGTAATTCTGAAAAGCTGATGCAGTCCCATCTGCCTCCCGGTACCCGCCTGGGTGGTCCCCTCAGGCTTTGTCCTTTCCTCTTTGGCTTGTGCCTGGCAATCTTCGTGAGAGAAGCAACAAGACTAGGCTACGTGGCAGTTCACATATGAGCAGGCAGCAGTGTGGCCAGAGACTTGTGACATGGTGGAAACCCTCAGTGAAGACAGAGGCCTGACCCTGGGCAGCAGACCAGCCCCCCCCCCCCATGAAAAACCACAGCATTGAGCATGAGGACTTCTACAGAGCAGAAAGACTGCATGCCCAACTCAAGATGGGGTGGAAGCAGTAACAACAGAAACGCCCTATGGGCAGCTCCTGTGACTACCCCCTAAATGCAGCTCACTCCAGCACAGTGAGGCAGACCCAGCCTGCTCATGGCCTCCCTCATTTCTAGATGTTTCCACAGTTCCCTTTTTACCGCAGCTCAATGATCCCTGAGATGACTCCAATTCCCATTCTGGCATTGAGTGGCTGATGTGAAGCCAGGGGAGTCTACCGGCTGGCTTAACAATGACCTCACAGACACAGGAAACAAATACTACTTATCTGGGAAAGAGGCATGGCAAGGGCTGGGGAGCAGGGGGTGGTTCTGAGTTGGACTGCTTGGATGTGAATGTCAGTTCTTCCCCTTGGCTTCTGTGTGACCTTGGTTAGTCATGTAATCTCATTCTCCTATAAAATGGAGACAAATAATAGCTCTCACCAAATGGATTGTAGTGAACATGAAATGAGATTTAACACCCCTAAGAGGGTACATGCCTTTAGCATGGTACCTAATGCCCAAGTGGGGCCCAAGAAAAACCAGCACTCCATCTACCAAATAGCCTCTTATTCCAGCTCCATGCCTCTCCTATCTGACATTAACTGTTCTCCACAGAACGTGAGCTTTAAAAATATATATATATTTTTATTTTATTGCATGATGATTTGTCTGCATGTACGACATAAATGCACCAGTGTCAGCCAATACCTGAAGAGGCCAGAAAAGAGTGATGATCTATCCTTTGGAACTGGAGTGACAGACAGTTATTAGCTGTTGTGTGGGTGCTGGCAACCAAAATCAGGTCCTCTGCAAGGGCAGC